TGTATGTGTTTGTGTGTTCGTGTGTGCGTGTGTGCGCGCGTGCATGTGTGTGTGTGTGTGTGTGTGTGTGTGCGTGCGTGCGTGCGTGCGTGCGTGCGTGCGTGCGTGCGTGTGTGTGTGTATACCTTTCTTACCTGTACAACGCCTGTCTCCCTCGCCTGGTTCAAATGAACACTTGAATCGCTGTTCCCAGAATTCCTCCCACCATGGATTCCTTTGATTCTTAAACGGCTTCAAACTGTGGCGACAAAGATTAAAAACAGAAATGAGCTAAAAGACGTTAAAAGTGGTGATAAGAAAGCGACTCGCTCTTACTATTTGTCACTATTTGACACTATTGACACTATTGCCACTATAGAGCTATTGCCACTATTTGACATTATAGAGCTATTGTCCCTATTTGACACTATAGATCGAGATATTGTCACTATTTGACACTATAGATCAAGCTATTGTCACTATTTGACACTATCTCCGAATCTAACAAGATCCATAACAATAACAATTTACTGACTGTAATGATAATTCTGATAATACTAACAATAAATCTGAAATCATCAAAAACTCTCTCAAACGAAATGTAACTTCAACGTTAACCATGAATGTATCTCCAACTATATATCTCTGTCCCTATCTTGAAATATATAACTCCATCTACAACGCTAACTATTTAACAATAATTCTAACTTTTACTAACCATTCTTAGCTAAATATTACTCTAACCACAAATCAATCCCTAACTCTGAATATATAATTCTGTTTCTACATTTAACTATATGAACCAATTCCTATCTTTAACTATCTAAGCTCATCCATAACACTATGTCAGAAACATTTTACTAACCCTTCTTAGCTGAACATAACCCTAACCCTAACCCTACCCCTAAATTTCACTATATAACCCCATACATCAACCCTATGACCACAACTTCTACTAAACATTGTTAGCTAAAAATAATCCTAACCACTAACCCATCCCTACATCTAAATATATAACTCCATATAAGAGCGAACAAGCAGACGCCATTTGTCGTAAACGTCACCATAAATAGTTGTGACATCACATCAAAATCTCCACACATTTGCAATGAAGTGTCGTGCACGCGCGTGTCGCTTTGATACTTCAGACCTCGCGACAGTCATAACATGTCAACCATAAATAGTAATTTATCAGGACAAATTCTCGCACTCAGACAAACCATACCAGTCCCCATAGACAGTACCGCTATCTAGTGGTTATCGTATAAACTAAAGATCGTGTGAATGTCGCAGTGAATAAATGAAATACGAACGAATAAATGAGTGTATGATTAATAATAATTTAATTATTTTTTTAGTTTAAAAATTAAATGACGTACGTCTAGGACGTACGTCCAAAACGCATCGTGTAAATAGGCTTTGAGACCTGCATGACCTGCATGACCTCCAAGACCTATATGACCTTCGTTACCTCTATGACCTCCGTGACCTTTATGACCTCCACGACATCTGTGACCTGCATGACTTCTATGACCTCTATGACCTCTGTTATCTGCTTGACCTCTATGATCTCCAATACCTATATGACCTCCGTGACCTCTATAACTTCTACGACCTCTACGACTTCCGTGACCTCTATGACCTCTATGCCCTCTATGACCTCTATGACTCACTACGCGGATTCTCGCGTGTGTGCAAAGTTGAAAGCTGACAGAAAACCGTCTTAACTCCGCAGCAAACGTCCGCTCGCACCCTCGACTGCGCTGACATCTCGCGATTAAAAATGCATTCGGCCGGGCTAGCTCGCCTCATTAGGCTCGAGCTAAACGATGGCAAGCCGTCACTTAAGCTTACACGCGGGGCAGGCCGCAGTCACGCGCTCACCGCCCAGACACGAGCAATCGATAAAGGAAAACTAAGACGCGGAGGGGTGGGGGAAGGGAGTGATTGCGGGTTTTTTGACGTAAGGGGTGAAATTCGAGCGATGGCTATTCAGGAGAGTGTGGTGGTGGTGATGGTGATGATGATGATGATGATGATGATGATGATGATGATGACGACGATGATGATGGTGATGATGATGATGATAGTAATGATGATGATAATGATGATGATAACGATGATGATAACGATGATGATGATGGTGATGGTGATGATGATGATAATTATGACGATGACGATGGTAACAAAATGATCAATAACAATAACAACACCAATGGTAAATACAACAATAATGTTACATCATATTATATGTTATGATGATATGTAATTATATGTTATTTATTATGTATAGTGTACTACATTATTAATATATATGTTTAACTATAAGGCAACAGTTAATGATGATGACGCGTTAGCTGTCACTGACCGGTGAGGTTGGTGTTCGGCCACCAGCCACGCGGGCAAGCCTGACATGTGTACTCGTCCAATAAGTACTCATACTCGTCGCACTCAGTACACACCCAGCAGCACGCGACGCCGCCATCTTGAATCGTCTGAAACCATGGAGAAGAAAACAAAAGGCATCACAAAAAAGGAAGAAAAAAACAAAAGGCGTCACAAAAAGAAAACAACAAAACGCGTCACGAAAAGGAAAAAAAACAAAAGGCGTCACAAAACAAAAAAAAACACAAATGTTTACAAAGGAACTACTTCGTGGGACGTGTTTTACGGGAACTACTTTCATGTGCGGCTCGGAAGATATTTATAGTGACATTTAATTATCATCTTATGATGTATATAATGACGATAATAACATCGTTATTAAACAAAGATAATGTCAAATCATAATGCCATTACATCATTATGTCAACGTTATATTAAAAATAAACCAAATTTTAATATTATATTATCAAGATTAGTATATTTAATCTCTAATTTCACACTCGCCCACTCTGACAATTTTCTGCCTTCATAAATTTACAGTAGTAAGACTAGGAAAGCATAACGAGGATGACAGCGAAAGGTCAAAGCTGCAAGCAGTGATTCAGGTCAGATTTTCCACGAATGAAGCCAAAATATAACAATGAAGTTGATTACAAACGATGCAATTTAATAATTACAATGAATATCATAGATTTGATACATAATATAACATAATCTAATGTAAAATAATGTAATGTAATTTAATTTTGTCTAATGCAAATATAGTGTAACATAATGTAATGTGATGTATTGTACTGCAATGCAATGCAAAGTAAAGTAATGTATTGCAATGCAATACCATGCGACGCAATGCAATCCAAAGTAAAGTAACGCAATGTGCGTTAATTCCTAATTTTATTTTCTATTTTTAATTGCGTTTGTTCTATGTCATAAATTCTTATGTTATGTTAACATAACATTATAATTATAACATAGAACATTATCGTTCAATAGGAGCCAAACCAATTACAGTCGCTCCCTGACTCACCTTGACCTGACCACGCGGGCACGGCTTGCTGCATACGGACTCAGGCAGACTCTTGTTTCTCTCCTCAGACCAGATTAATCTGCTGGCATTGATAATGAGGTCCCCACTGTCCCACGTGCCGATCCTCACGTAGCCGTACCCGCTTCCGCTCAGCCGCTGGTAGTTGAGGATGTCGTACCTGCAGCGCCGGTGAGACGGGGTGATTGAGACAGGTGGCGACATCTACATTTTTACATAAACATTTTTAAACAGACGTCGCGTTCGTAACGATACGTTAACATGATTATTTTATTTTATTTCATATTGCTTAACATTTTTTTTATAATATTTAAAAAAAATTATTTCATATAACGTTTCGAGTAAATATACGTTGTGGTCCTTGACAAATACGTAATACCTTGTCCAACAGGGGGCGCTATTTATAGACTCTCACCTTCCCGGCGGGTCTCCATGCTCGTCGAAGTAGACTCGCTCTCCCTGATCGGTCGTGAAGTTGACATTCATGAGATGTTCGAGGAGCAGGTGTCCATCTACGGGGTTCATCCGATCACATAGTCCTGCACGGGTGTGTAGGGGCGTATTATAGGATATACTATACATATATACACACACACACACACACACACACACACACACACACACACACACACACACACACACACGCTAGCCCGGTTTCGCCGGACGGCACGTGTCTCCGTCCTCTGCGAGGAACCAGTGTCCGTACGCACGCGCTCTCTGCATCTTCTGCTCCACGCCGACGATGAAGTTGTTGTTGATGATGTAAGGATCAGGCAGCAGCCGCCGCCTCGCCTCCTCCGTCATCCTGTACCACATACCGTCGGCTATCTGCTCGTAGGGGAACAGACGGCACCGCGCTCCGCCGTGCCGCGCCTTGCACAGTCCGTCCAGTATGTCCTGCTCGTACGTACCCTTGAGTCCTCGCTCCAACCTCTTCGCCATCTCGCTCCAGACGCCAACGCCGCCTCTCGTCGCATTAAGGAACAAAAAACCGGCCGAGTAATTCCCGAGGTGGCGCTCGGCGCCGTTTTGGGCGGCGATGACGTCATATCCGGTCGACGTCGCGACCTCGCCGACGAGCGGCGCGGCGTTCTTTCGCCACAGGCAGTCGGTTTCGAATACGGTCAGCGAGACGCCGCGACGTAGCAAAGCCAGCATCAGCTTGACGCGCATCAGCATGTAGATGCGGTATCCGTTCGACCCGAACCCGAGACCCGTCGCCATGTCCGCCTGCGTCGCGTGCCGGAAGACGCGCAGCGTCGGCCAGCGTCGGCGCAGCGCGTCGTGCGTCGCGTCGTCGGTTGCTATGACGACCGTCTGCTCGTGCACGCCCGCCATCGCGGCGGTGTTGCACAGCCAGCTGAGCGTCATCGGAAGATACGCGGCGTTGACGGTGGCGACCAGAGGCACGCGGCCGGCCCGCGTTATTTCCTCCGTCATCCGCACGAGGGCGCTGACATCGCCAACGCCGAGAAAAGTTCGGCGTGGGCTCGCTTGCTGCTCCCCCTGGTGGCTGGTTATGACGCAACAGTAGAGGAATAGGAGAGCAAGGAAACTTGTTAAGAAGATGATCTGGTTCCTCTGTCTTCCTCTGACCGCCATCTTGTACCGATGTGATGACGTAAGCACAAAATTTATTACAGCAGCGAATAATATGTAATATTTTATGAGTTTTGTTAAACGAATTCGAATGTTCTTTTTGGCTCTGTCTTCC